GGCGGGGCGGGCGGGGCGAGCTGCCAGAGCGGCACTCTGGTGCGCTCCGGCCCCAAATGACCCCTCCTGCAGAGCATTTTTCATATTGCTACATCCAGGGCTTTTTTTGTAGAAAAAGACCAGCAGGAACTCTTTAGCATAATAGGCCACACCCAACAGCAGAAACTCATTAGCGTATTAGGCCACACCCCTGACATCACAGCTCATTAGCATACTAGGCCACACCTCCATGTTACCTGAAGTGTGGCCGTCCAGCCACACCCACCTTTTGCTTCTTATTCTGTTTACCTTGTTTGTTGTCAAAACCCAGGGCTTTTTTATAGCAGGAACTCCTTTGCATGTTAGGCCATAAACCCCTAATGTAGCCAATCCTAATGAGTTTCTGCTGTTGGGTGTGGCCAACTCAGGAGCCAGCCGGAACTCCATTCCTGTGCGTTCCTGCCCCAAAATAGCCCTGGCTACAATTGCAAAGATGGTGTCTTTTCATGCCACATTAAGGGCTGGCCTTTCTAAATCTTCCTTTACTCACCAGATATGGACAAGTGCATAACTTTTTTTCCTGTGGTTCTTGAAATTTATTTACTTTGCCTGCTTAACAGTTCTTTGGTTCACTTTGAAGGTGTGGCTGGAGTCATGGGTCCAAGTGGACCTTCTGGCATAAAAGGTGCACCAGGAGAAAAAGGACAAAAAGGAATGGGCTCTATAGGTATGTAAATAACATTATTTTCCAATCTATTGAAAAAGTTGCTTTAGAAGGAGTATCTGATGCACACTTTCTCTTTCTTCTTTCAGGGCTTCCAGGACTGAAAGGAGATCAAGGGGGAAAGGGTAACAAAGGTGATCCTGGTAAGATGGAGATGTTCAGATTCAGTGTGTGAACAGCCAAACCTTACATGACATAATTAGAGTTCCTGATATCTTTCATTTACTTAAAAATAGCAGGAAGGACAATAGGGTTACCTTCCCCAGGTACCATCACCCCAAATCTCCAGGAATTTCCCAGCTTGGAGCTAGTAACCATAAATATCTTCGTTCCACCATAACTATGTACATGAAATATTCCTTAATTTGTCGAGTGTTTTAGACCACTAAAGGCACTGCTCTCCACAAATCTGTGTAAAATTTGGAGTAATTTAGAATTTGTATTTTTGATTTATTAATAAATAGGACTTTATATACTGCCACTGCAGATCAGTGCTGTAGCTAGACAGCGGCATAAGAACAATGTTGGATCAGGCCAATGGCCCATCCAGTCCAACACTCTGTCACACAGTGGCCAAAAATACCACGTGCCATCAGGAGGTCCAGCAGTGGGGCCAGGACACTAGGAACCCTCCCACTATTGACCCCCCCCCAAGCACCAAGAATACAGAGCATCACTTGCCCCGGAGTCTCTATCTATACCTTGTGGCTAATAGCCACGATGGACCTCTGCTCCATTTGCTTATCTAATTCCCTCTTGAAGCCGTCCATGCTTGCAGCCACCATGCTTGTAGCAGGGCAAGGGGGGCTAAGCCTTTCTCAGATGCACCCAGCCCCCTTCCTGGTGGATGCCAGACCCTCCCCTCCCCTCCATGCAAAGCCTACAGCTGCCACCACTCCGAGCCCTTCACTGCAGCATTTCCCTCTCTTGCCTGGTTCCCTGGGTGTGTGGAGAAAACACATGGCGGGGTGGGAAGAAAAGGAAAGAGGACAAGGGAGGGCCAAGCGAGTGGGCTCACAGCTGGCTTTGCCCCCAGCCCCAGCATATGCAAAGGGCCTGGCTGCTGGTTGGGAGGGCAGCAGTGAGAATGGCTGGCTGGTTGGCTGGCTGATTGATGCTTGCTCTGCCCTCCCAACCAGCAGCCAGGACCTTTGCACATGCTGGAGCTGGGGGCGGAGCTGGCTGTGTGCTCACTCCCTCGGCCAGGCAGGCATCAGCCAACCAGCCAGCTTCTCTCACCAGCCCTTTGCAGGTGATGAGGCTGGGGGCAGAGCTAGAGGAAGTTGCAATGAAATGAAATGTGGAGCTTGAGCCGGTGCATTTATGCAAGCAAAACAGGGGGAGGGGTTTGTTATGCACTACAACAACCCTTTCCTTACTTTGGAGACTCTGGTTTAAACCCCTGCCTCTTCTCAAGGCTGCTCCTGCTGCTAGAGGAAGTTGCAATGAAATGAACTGTGGAGCTTCTAGGGCTGGGCAACCCATGAAGGCAATCCATACCTAAGTGATACACAAATCTGTGCCTGCACTCTCCCGTTGCCGAATTGGAAACACAGAGTCAGAGTCCAACGAGTTAGATGAATATCTGTTTAATGCATTTAAAAAAGGGAATACAGTGGGCTGAGTACCTTAGCACTTCAGCAATTCCAAAGCTGTATTCTGCCATAACCAGGAAGGGGAGAAGGTCTTATACCCCAAATGACATCATATTTAGTTTATACATTAAAGAATCTCTAATCGGCACCAAGCAGTTAACATCATACAAGCATCATTTGACTGTAAACCTTGCTATTGGTCTCTCTTTATGCTGGTCATATATTGTCAGTGATTGCATTTGTTTATCTGTTTTCCAGGAGAATGAGAACCTTAGGGAACACTGAGAACCTTCCTTTTCATTTCTTTTTAAACTGCCCCCGAAGAGGCAGAATTTTATTAAATTTTTCACAAAAAATACACACATAAAACACAAAAGTACAAACAAACATTAAAATATATACTAACATACATACTAACACCTGGGGGTTATTGTCGTTTTAACACGTTTATACTTAGTAACATTTATTCGTGAACTTTGTAAGCAACTTTTCTATAATCCTAAAACCGGTGTACATTTCACTAATATTCAATTAGTCTGTCCCTTACAAAGTAGCGTAAATATGCTTATCATACCAATTATAGAATTGTGTCCAAGTATTCTGGAATGTCGAGTCCGTTGCACCTTTTATCAATAAAGTCAGTTTATCCAATTCCGCCACCTCCAAGACTTTGTTTATAAATTCTCATTTGTTGGTATTTCCATTGATTTCCAAAATTTTGCATAAAGAATTCTGGCAGCTGTAGTTAGAAAGACTATCGAATAACGGCCCTCTTTGTTTGAATTATCCGGTAAAATATTCACCAACAAAACCTCTGGTGTAAAAGGTATTACTGAGCCTAGTACCTTTTGCAAAATTTAAGGAGAGAGTGTCAGAAATCACATTCTTTTCCCCTTGTCCTACATAAGCACTGAGAGCAAGGAAGAAAAGGAGCCCAGAAAAGTAGCTGATTGTAAAAGGAGAAAGAGCATGAAAGACTCTTTGGTTTTAAGTAGAAAATATGTTGATGGCTTCTCTCATGTTGAATCCCAAGAGTTATGACATGTCCTGCCCATGCAAATGCCCACAACGACCAAGAGGCCTTTCCTCGCACCTAAGTTTTTCACACGAGAAATTGGCATGTGATCCCTCTCAAACATGGGATCTCCCACATGACCCCCTGGTGGTAGAGTCACATTCAGTGATTGTTCTGTGTGCACCAGCACCACTGGATGTATGCATTACTTTTTATATACATCTAGTTAGGGACAGCATCAGTCCTTATCTTGTGGGCTAGCACTGTGTCAATCCCATGGAATGTATTAATGCAAGGTTGGGAGAACTGGGTGCTGTGACCATGCGTAGCCTATGGACATGCCTCAGGAGAGCCAGAACCTATGACAAAACAATGGCAATGCATCTTAACAACTGTGGGTATCTCCTCAGCAGGTCTCAAGTGTTAGTAATGGCTCAGCCCAAGCACCCATCAGATGTATGTCTTTGTATGAAGAAGCCACAGTCTGAGATTCTGGGGGGTAACAGAGAGAAAAGCAGAGAGACACTGCTGGCTGAAGCACTTTGAGGCTGCAGGATCCCTCTCTCTGGGATCCTTCTCTCCGGGGATCTGATGGGGAGTGATTCTCCTCCTCCACCCATGCTCTACTTTCATATTTGTAAGCAGGGGTCATTTCGTAGAAAAAGAGCTAGGGGAACTCATTAGCATAACTCATTAGCATATGCCACTCCCCCTGACATCAGGGGCCCGGCGGTGGACCTGCAAGGCCAGCCGGAGTGCGAGGAAGCCCCGCCAAGGCCCTCCCTGGCCCCAGGCAGGCAGGGGTGGGGAGAGGCGGGGAGGAAGCAACTTACCCTCCCTCTTCTCCTGCCTCCTCCTGGCTGAATGAGGGCTGGAAGCGGGGCGGCCGGAAGCAGGGGGCGGGGCTTCCTCATGTGCCCTGCCCCCTGCACCTCACCCGGGGGAACTGCGTTCCCCCGCGTTCCCCCCGAAATGACCTCTGTTTGTAAGTAAAGCAAAGACTGTAAAAAGATCATACGCCTCCTGTGCTCTGCTCTCCAAAGAGAACCAGTCCAGGAACTAAGTACCCATTACAAAGTCCTCTGGTCCTATCTGGGTTGCTGTGAGAACTTGCAGTCAGATAGTTGTGAGCCCCTGCTGGAAATTCAGTTCACAGGTGTGCAGGGAGCGCATTCAGACTTGGACGGGACCGGGGAACACAGGAAGAGGGGACTCCTACATTCCCCCCACGCTGTTTTCCCGATTTGAAACAGTTCTGGAAGAGGCACGGTCTGCTCCAATGGGGACTCCACACATACTGATGGGGCACAAGCAGTTTTCCAAAATGGGGCATCTCATCCCCCTGGGCCTTTTCAAGTTGGGAAAATGGCAAGGGGGGTGGGAGACATAAGACTCCTCTCCCTGCATGCCACATCCCATTCCAAATCAGACCATACCCGTTCAGGAATCACCTCCCAATGGGGAGCTCACAACATAAATATGATTGCAAGTATTCATAGTGGACCTGGATACAACCAAAGGACTTTGAAACATGTACCATAGTTGGGCCCTGGCCAGGTAAGCACCATGTTACAAATGTTATAAATTCAGTGTCTATAAGGAAAAGAGTAAGAGAACGAGAAAGGGGAGTGGTGAAGGTTTGTTTTGTTTTACATATAAACGCTGATTGCATGAAATGGATGGTAACCATTAGGTTATTGTCAGGGGTCATTTCGTAGAAAAAGAGGCGCAGGAGCTCATTAACATAACTTAGTTGCATATGTCACACCCCCTGACATCACCAGAAGTGTGTCAGAAGGCAACACCCACCGCTCAGGCTCCACTGGACTGTTTTGGATTGCTAGCTATTGGGGGGGACGACATGGAGCTCTGTCCTCGCAGAGGAGGGAGAGCTTGTGCCTGAATAAAACTTGGTCTTAAAGGTACCACTGGACTCTTTTGGACCAGGGGTGGGGCTCTGCAGCTTATCTGGCTGCTTCTTGCTCTGACTGAGGGCTGCTGGGAGCAGGGGGTGGGGCTTGTTGCATGTGCCCGCCCCCTGGGCTCTTTACTGCCGGAGCTCCGCTCCTGTGTGCTCCTGCAGGAAATGACCCCTGGTTATTGTCTAGAACGCTTTCATAGCTCGATTGCTTTACCTTTTTGTGATATTGTTTTCTTTCTTGCTAACACTGATACTGTTGGTACCCTTTCCTTAGGAGCCAGAGGTCTGCCTGGAGAAAAAGGAAGTAAAGGAAGCACTGGGGATCCTGGACGGAAAGGTGAACCAGGAGGAAAAGGAGAAAAAGGCTCTGTGGGGCTTAGAGGTAAAAAAAAAAATCATCATCATCTGATGCTTCTCGGGTATTGGGCCCTTGCATTTGATTTAGTAGTATCTGCAACTATAGTATAGATCAGGATTAGGAGTCAAAATTATCTTAGGATTCTGCAAATGAGGATGGAAATAAGAAAAATGGAAACTCAACAAGTAAATTGCTAAGTAACCAATAGGAAAGATAAAATAATGGTGCAGCCTGTTCCTACATAAGTTTATTTGCCTCTTTATTAGAGTTGTCAGTAGTTATCATTTGTTCCAACTCAAGGAGATCGTGATGAGCAAAAATGTCAGTGAATACACAACTCTGCACCCTGTTTATCTCAGAAGAGGAAAGAGAGTGTACAGTAGATTGTGTTATCATAGGAATACATTTTTGTATTGCTGCAACCTGCATTGTATATCTGGTCAAACAGGTCAACAACTAAAATGGACTGGGTCAGTGTGGAAAGGAGGGGGGGCACCAAGATTGGCCAGTGCTGAGGGCACCAGTGAGCCTTCATCCGCCCCTGGGCAGTGTTACAGCTGTTTTAAGACATAAAGGAACAAGTGGTGTCTTTGGCTGCTGGGAAAGAATTTTGCTTCCAGGATGTATTATTAATTGATCAAACATGTGTTCCTTTTTTATGTTCAATCACAATCCTCTGGGATATAAGGGCCTAAAGGTGAAAAGGGTGCTCCAGGTAATTAACATTATTTTTTCCCCCTTACCTTACCAAAATTAGGCGAGGTTACCCTATTCCAAAGCATTGTAGAAATCCACTGTGAATATGGAGATCCACGTGAGCTCGGGCTAGTCTACCTACTTCAATATCTTACTGGACCAATTGCACAGGCACAGTAAGGAGTTGTCCATAGAGCAGTTTCAGCTATTGACAACAATGGGGCAGGTACTGATTGTACAAGAAACTGGTGAGAGGGACAGGGAGAGAGAATGGATCATTTCCTTTCACATAACCCACTGGATTCAATAAATAGTATTATATCGGGGGGGGGGGTTCCTTTGGATATCCTAGGTCTGGATCCAAGGCCCAGGAAAAGGTTCAAACATATAAGATGTAGATCAAACATCTTAGTCTATCCATAATGTTCATGCAGCCTCCAGAAGGTTGTTTTCTCCTTTAAAATGTGAACAGTGAAACCAAGTGGAGGCAAAAAGGTTAAACCCACTTCCCTGTATGGCACCATGGCAAACCACCGTGGCATGTAGGGATGGGCACAAACTGAACCACAAAGCAAAATTTGTCACAAATTTTGGCCTGCTCCAGGTTCATGAGTAGAAGTTCTACCTTCATGAACTTCCACAAACTTTTAAAGCAGTTCATGGTGGTTTGTGGGGTTTCATGGGTGGAGCGGATAGCAGGGGTTTAAAGGGGACCCCAAGTCCCTTTAAATGCTTGCTTTCTGCTTCCCACAAAAGCCGCAAAAACTCCCCGCCACTCAGCTGTTTCACGCTGTCTTGTGCAGTCCCTTTAAAGATGTGAAGAAGCAGACATGGCTTACTTTGGGGATGTGAAGTTGAGGGGTGCCAAGTGACACCTTTTGTTCATTAGGACCACACAAATTCCAACCACACATTTTGCATCCCAGTAGTCATTGTGTTTGTAGCAAGAATGGGGAAATGGGAAAAGCCAGGACCAGGGCGTTCTCCCTGGTGGCGCCAACGCTGTGGAACGAGCTCCCTAATGAGATTAGAGCTCTACGGGACCTCCAGCAGTTCCGTAGAGCTGTGAAAACTGAGCTGTTTCACCAGGCGTTCAAATAAGAACTGACTGCACTGGTTGGCTCGCACTAGCACTTTATCATAGGATGCCGCCATTTTTACTTAGTTTTACTGTATTTATTGTATTTTATATCTTGTAATTGCTGGTTTTCAGGGCTTTTTTGTAGAAAAACCACAGCAGGAACTCATTAGCATAGTTGGCCACACCCAACAGCAGAAACATATTAGCATATTAGGCCACACCCCTGACAGCACAGCTCATTAGCATATGAAGCCACACCCCAGTGTTGCCAGAAGTGTACTCATCCAGCCACACCCACCTTTTGCTTCTTATTCTGTTTACCTTGTTTGTTGTCAAAACCCAGGGCTTTCTTTGTAGCAGGAACTCCTTTGCATGTTAGGCCACACACCCCGAATGTAGCCAATCCTAATGAGTTCCTGCTGTTGGGTGTGGCCTGTTATGCTAATGAGTTCATGCTGGGCGTGGCCAACTCAGGAGCCAGCCGGAACTCCGTTCCTATGCGTTCCTGCTCAAAAATAGTCCTGCTGGTGTTAAATTGTATGTTGTTTTAAACTCTCTGTAAGCCGCCCTGAGCCGCCTCGGTGGGAGGGTGGGGTAGAAATTTAATAAATAAATAAATAACCTGTTACACATACCTTGGCCACTATTTTGAGATCTTGCCTCTTTTCCTTTTGATTTACATAATATTTTCTTTAAAAAAAACAACAGCAAGAAGTCCCAACATAAGAATTGCTGGAGGAAGTAATCGAGGCCGTGTTGAAATTCTGCACAATGGGCAATGGGGTACAATATGTGACGATAGTTGGGACCAAAGTGATGGAACAGTGGTTTGCCGAATGATGGGATACACTGGAAGAGCCATTGTCTTCACCGCAACTGCAGGTAATTTATTAACTGACTCCATGGCTAATTTAATCATCAAAAAATGAAATGATTCAGTTCTATCACTCGTATCTAAAACTAGCAGAGATCTAAGCAGGGATGGAGAGGCAGCAGATACATTTCTAAGTAAATAAAATTCTCTGTCATCCAAAATATGTCAGCAGAGGGTCAATACAAATCTTAAACATTCCTGTCCAAGATGGTAAGCGATGCACCCTAAATATATTCTCCGGACAAGACTGAAGGCATTAGCGTGCTGGGCTTATTTATTTATTTTCTGAATGCCATCAGGAAACACAGGTGTCGTCAATGGGACATAATGTGCACATTGCAAAAATATGCTTTATTTGCATGCTTCTTTGTGATTATAACACGAGTCTGTTACAGAAGCATAGTAACAGAACAGAATTCGAGTCCAGTAACACCTTAAAAGGTCAACAAAATTTTCCAGGGTACAAGCTTTTGTTAGTCTGAAGCTGTTTGCTAGGCAATGGGAGGATAAGAGAGAGAAAAAGTATTCAAAGGCATACGAGGAACTTCCAAACAATTGGGGGGTTGCATTAATTATGCAGCTGTTGCTCAGCTGTTGTCCAGGACCCAAAAACATTTCCCAGTCATTTCGCTCAGATGAAAATTGCCTTTTCAAAGAACTTTTTCTCCAGTCACACTTTTCTGTGTGGAATGCAGTTACACAGGTGTCATGGTCACCTATTGGACAACGTTTGTGACATCATTTACAGGGAACAGCCCATGCCATTTTGTAAATACTACAAAAGTTCTATTTTATTGGATTTTTTAAAAAAGATGTAGAATGTTCCTTTGCAAGTGTGACAAAGTTTTTTCTGTTGAGGTTACATCATGGCTTATAGAGAATTCAGTGTGTTTAGCTATTCGGAGGATCATATCACCTCTTTATTAAATAAACCCAATTTCTTCAATTCTGAGAAAGATGTTAACAATTCTAGTGCATGGGAGAATTTTTAAGAAAGGTTCTTTTAAGAGAAGGCTCCTTTGTTCTATATCAAGCATGAGAATACTTCAAAAACTTTTTTTAAATCATGACATGTATCATCTAGGCTACACTTACCTCTGCTTCCCTTTCCCTGAGTAAGGCTGTGCCATTTTTAACCCCTTTCCCCATCTTAAAAAAAAAAATCATTCTTTTAAAATTCTCTAGCACAGTCCCATTTATTTTGACAGACTTTCTAAAGATGAACAGAAATGCCCTTCAGCAATCTCAGGCTATGTTTTTAATGCTGGATTTTGATTCATAACTTTTAATGTTTTATGGTTTTATTATGTATTATGTTTTATTTTGTAAGCTGCCTTGGGCAGGATCCCCAGAGTGGAGGCATAACAATTATCTAAATAAATGATCAAATAAATTAAGTCATATGGCTTTCCATAATATGATTAGGGTTGTAGCATGGCTAGTGTGGCCATTGCTAGTTCATATACACATGAACATCACTTGATCTTTTATCCTTTCATTTGTTGACTCTCAGTGACCCTCGGTGGAAAGTGTGAACCACCTCTATTGAAAAATGTTAGGTGTAAGCTGATCTCTAATCCTTGATGTGTGGGGAACAATAACCAAGATGCCATTAAGGGAAGCTAGGCACTCTCTCCACATGGGAATTAGCAACAAAAATAAAGCCAGTAGATGCCCAGAAAACTGGATCATGATCTCGTCTGTACATGAGTATCCTATTTAAAAAATGAGAAGGTAAAAGGTTCCCTTGCTCGAAAGCCAGTCGAGTCCGACTCAAGGGTTGCGGTGCTCATCTCCGTTTCAAAGCCGAAGAGCCACCGCTGTCCGAAGACGTTTCCGTGGTCATGTGGCCGGCATGACTAAACACCAAGGCGCACAGAACGCTGTTACCTTCCCACCGAAGTGGTACCTATTTATCGACTTGCAATGTCTTGCTTTCGAACTGCTAGGTTGGCAGGAGCTGGAACTAGAGACGGGAGCTCACTCCGTCATGTGGCACACTCGGGTCTCGAACTGCTGAACTACCGACCTTCCACAGCCTGCAGTTCAGCGTCTTAACCACTTGAGCCACCGCAACTCCATTAAAAAAAAATGAGAGGGGGGGTAAACTAGGAATGTATATGTGAGCATTCCTCACTGCTCTGCAAAAGGCTCCATCTCTTAAATTTTGCTCTGCCCACCTTCCCCATCATTTTTTTCCTTTTTTTCCACTCTTCATATATATGTCTTTAAAACAAACCTTTCCCGTTCATATTTGTGTCACATTCTTTGTCCTTCCTTCTCAACATAAACAGTAAGACAAGGAGGCTTACAAATATGTAGAAGAATGTAAGACAGTAATATAATTCTCAGTTATCATGTACAGAGTAAAGATTTCACTAACAAGTTGATACCATAGATCTACAAACTATTTAGAACCAAAGAATCCACCAGATGGTTGACTTGAAGAATGTATGAAGGCCAATCTCTTTCAGTTGTCTCTTCCAGCTCTCACAGTTTTCACTGAACACTGTTTTTCTGAGGTTCATGGGAGTTCATTCTCACGCTCCCCCCAATCTCATGTTTGCCTGTATTTCTGGGTTGTTGCTTACAACAGCTGAAAGCAGAACGTCCTTCATTTCCCCAGAATAACTGTTCTTGCAGAAATGGCCAGTATTTGATTAAAGAGCTTCAGTGAGAGTCCCAGACTTTTGGTTGTTTGGAGACTGAACCTTATGATTTACCATTTACAACAAGGAGCCCATGTAGCCTTTCATTACCCAGGCTTTCCCACACCTATTTCTATATTTTCTTCTTCTGGTTTTGGTATTGTGACCCAGGGTCTGGGCTTTCGAAGGACTATGCATTTCCTGGGAAGAATTTCGTTCAGAACCTGTGTCTTAAATAAAAGTAGATTTATTTGCTGTTCACACACTCTTCCCTCTTATTGACAGGGATCAGGGCATGTCACTTTTGGTGATGTTTCCCTCTTGGTATTAATGGCAATTTTAATTTTTTGTTATTTTTGATCCCCGTATGAAAATAAAATTGATCAGAGGAAGGAAAAACGGGAGAAGCATCAACCTTTCAGTAAGTGAGGGGGTAAACTAGGAAACCAATAGAAAATGGGACTCAAGAAATACCCACAGGGACTACTCAGAATCATGCTTAATAATCAAAATAGCTCCCTTTGTATGCATTTCCTACATCCATCTTTTATTCTCTTCCGTTGCAGAAGGTCAAGTGCTGTTTTTCCCCTTTGTTTCCTAGCCAAGTGATCTGAGAAATGTATTAGATGTCTACTTTTGATACACGTTTCTAATTTGTGGTAGGTTGTTCTACAATAACTCATTACAATTTTCTTTTACTTCCTTTTGGCTGATACCAGGAACTGGAACTATCTGGCTGGATGAAGTGAACTGTTCAGGAACAGAATCCTCCATTGAGTTGTGCAGTAAATCTGACTGGGGTGTACACAACTGCAATCATAATGAAGATGCTGGTGTAGAGTGTTCCTAATGACATATTGTACTGCACTGATGTCTGCCAAAGAATAACATTCAGTGAAATGGTTCTGCACTGTCATTCAATGTGACTGGGACTTATATTTCTGGGCTAGCTAAATACTGAGTTATTTTTTTAATCCCACTTTATCAATAGACCCCTATAATACCTTCAATGGGCAGAGACTCACTATCAGTATCTGGATACTTTATTAGAATTATAATAACACTGTCAAACATTGCTGCATTAGCCAGATTTTAAAAATGAATAAGGAAGATGACTTGAAAATAATTTGAACTTGTAAAATGAATTTCTTTTCTTGGATGCAAAGGTCAAGGTGATTTTCCCATCGTGGTATTAATGGCAATTTAAATTTTTTGTTATTTTTTATCCCCGTATGAAAATAAAATTGGTCAGAGGAAGGAAAAATGGGAGAAGCATCAACCTTTCAGTAAGTGAGGGGGTAAACTAGGAAACCAATAGAAAATGGGACTCAAGAAATACCCACAGAGACTACTCAGAATCATGCTTAATAATCAAAATAGCTCCCTTTGTATGCATTTCCTACATCCATCTTTTATTCTCTTCCATTGCAGAAGGTCAAGTGCTCTTTTTCCCTTTGTTTCCTAGTCAAGTGATCTGAGAAATGTATTACATGTCTACTTTTGATACACATTTCTAACTTGTGGTAGGTTGTTCTACAATAACTCATTACAATTTTCCTTTACTTCCTTTTGGCTGATACCAGGAACTGGAACTATCTGGCTGGATGAAGTGAACTGTTCAGGAACAGAATCCTCCACGGACCACGGTTGGCCCATACATGCAAAGCATATGGGGATGACTGTGAGGAAGGCCATGTCTGTTGTTTTTGTTGTTGTTGTTGTTCAGTCGCACATTCGAGTCCGACTGTTCACGACCCCATGGACCAGATCCCGCCAGGCCTTCTGGTCTTCTGCCGTCCTCTGAAGTTTGCTCAACTTCATGTTCGTTGCATCTATGACACTGTCTAACCATCTCATCCTTTGCCGTCCCCTGGACCACAGTTGGCCCATTCATGCAAAGCATATGGGGACGACTGTGAGGAAGGCCATGTCTGCTGTACTAGTCATTGAAACTTGTTTCTACCCTCTCACCTGTCCTGGCTATCAATTGAGAAATCTCAATTAAGTGGAGTTTATGGAGGACATAGGGATCTCTAACCAAGAACTTTCAGCAGATTTCCCCAAATTACATTTCCCAGGTGAGCCGTAATAGTTCACCCAGATTTTGACCAGTATAAGTATAGATGCTTTATCAGTTGAACAAATTGATTAGAAATTCCAATGCGTGTGCGCACATGTGTATGATCGTTGCACTTAATCTTGGTGACTGCATCAGTCACTGCATATGAAAACTGCTAGGATACTTAGAACATAAGAATATAAGAGAAGCCATGTTGGATCAGGACAGTGGCCCATCCAGTCCAACACTCTGGGTCACACAGTGGCCAAAAAACAGGTGCCATCAGTAGGTCCACCAGCAGGGCCCTCCCAGAAGTCCTCCCGCGGTTGCCCCCAGTCACCAACAATACAGACTATCACTGCCCCAGATAGGGTTGCCAGCTCTTGGATGGCAAATACCTGGAGACTTTGGGGGTGGGTCCGGGAGAGGGGAGGGTTTGGGGAGGGGAGGGAACTCAGCATGGTACAGTGCCATAGAGCCCACCCTTCAAAGCAGCCATTTTCTCCAGGGGAGCTGATCTCTGTCAGCTGGAGATCAGTTATAAAAGTGGGATGTCTCCAGGCCCCACCTGGAGGCTGGTAACCCGAGCCCCAGACATAGTGTTATACAGGGCTTTTTTTGTAGAAAAAGCCCAGCAGGAACTCATTAGCATAATAGGCCACACCCAACAGCAGAAACTCACTAGCATATTAGGCCACACCCCTGACAGCACAGCTCATTAGCATATTAGGCCACACCCCCATGCCTTCCCTTGGCTTGCTGCCAGGCGCCCAGGCAAGCCGGCCCTTGGAGGGAAGAGAAGGCAATTTAAACTGCCTTCCCTTGGCTTGGCTGGGTGCCCTGCAGCTGCGGGGAACCCAGGCCAGCCCTTGTAGGGAAGGGAAGGGAAGGCAGTTTAAACCAGCCAGAACTCCGTTCCTGTGCGTTCCTGCCCAAAAATAGCCCTGGTGTTATATCTATACCTTGTGGCTAATAGCCACAGATGGACCTCAGTTCCATATGTCTGTCTAATCCCGTGCTGAAGCTGTCTATGCTTATAGTCACCCACCACTTCCTGTGGCAGTGAATTCCACGTGTTAATTAATCTTTCTAAATCTATTCTAAATCTACTGCTTATTAATTTCATTGAGTACCTATGAGATCTTGTACTGTGAGAAAGGGAGAAAAGTATTTATTTCTCTACCTTCTCTGCATGTGTAACTTTGTAAACATCTGTCATGTCACCCCTCAGTCGTCGTTTCTCCAAGCTAAAGAGCCCTAACCTCTTCAGCCTTTCTTCACAGAAGAAACCTCTTTAACATCTTTATCTTCTATAACAGACGGAAATCTTAAGCTTGGTTTGCATGTAGTACAAGGCAGGGGTCGTTTCGTAGAAAAAGAGCTAGGGGAACTCATTAGCATAACTCATTAGCATATGCCACACCCCCTGACATCACCGGAAGTGTGTCATAAGGCCACACTCCCTGACATCACCGGAAGTGTGTCATAAGGCCACACACACCACCCCCAACGGCCCCAGCCACCGCCGCCGCCCTTGCAGCTCCACTGCCGAGCCCCATGAGGGGCCCGGCGGTGGACCTGCAAGGCCGGCGGGAGTGCCAGGAGAAGGGAAGGCAGTTTAAACCAGCCAGAACTCCGTTCCTGTGCGTTCCTGCCCAAAAATAGCCCTGGTGTTATATCTATACCTTGTGGCTAATAGCCACAGATGGACCTCAGTTCCATATGTCTGTCTAATCCCGTGCTGAAGCTGTCTATGCTTATAGTCACCCACCACTTCCTGTGGCAGTGAATTCCACGTGTTAATTAATCTTTCTAAATCTATTCTAAATCTACTGCTTATTAATTTCATTGAGTACCTATGAGATCTTGTACTGTGAGAAAGGGAGAAAAGTATTTATTTCTCTACCTTCTCTGCATGTGTAACTTTGTAAACATCTGTCATGTCACCCCTCAGTCGTCGTTTCTCCAAGCTAAAGAGCCCTAACCTCTTCAGCCTTTCTTCACAGAAGAAACCTTTTTAACATCTTTATCTTCTATAACAGACGGAAATCTTAAGCTTGGTTTGCATGTAGTACAAGGCATCCCAATTGCTTCAAACGTTTCAGAATAAGACATATTTACATCTTATAGTAAAAACCAGAGCTATTTTTGGGCAGGAACACACAGGAACGGAGTTCCGGCTGGCTTCAGAGTTGGCCACACCCACTACAGCCAAAACCTCTGCATGTGTGGCTACAGAGGGAAGGCCTGGAGATATCCCATGCATAATTTTGTGAACCTCTGTCATGTCACCCCTCAGTCGTCATTTCTCCAAGCTAAAGAGCCCTAACCTCTTCAGCCTTTCTTCACAGAAGAAACCTTTTTAACATCTTTATCTTCTATAACAGACGGAAATCTTAAGCTTGGTTTGCATGTAGTACAAGGCATCCCAATTGCTTCAAACGTTTCAGAATAAGACATATTTACATCTTATAGTAAAAACACGTTATAGGTTTCTACCACTAAGTCATGGCCACACATGGGAGCTGCCTCCCAGTGCAGCTAATTCTATGCTTGGCACTCTTACAATCACCCCCACCAATGTGGCTGGCTCTTCTAAATAGTTTTATATGAGAACTACTTTAAAAAGTAGCTTCCATGAGGCTAGCTTAATGTTTAACAATGTGCTATTTTAAAAAACAACAACAACACTGTGTACTTCTAGGCCTACCATTTACTCATACAGGGCAGTGAATTACTAGTTCCCAGCCCCAATTTTGATTGAATGCTATTTAAACCAACAGCAAAGTCCAACTAGTCTGAAGTATCATAATAGGCTTGGGGTGAGTGAGTTTCTTGAAAAATAGCCTTGATTTCAAAAGGAGTAGGTAGGTATTCCAAAAGATGGTGCTTCAAATGAGCAGCTCCTATGATATGCCACAAAGTCAAATGCAAAGACAAAGGAGAAATAAAATGCGAAGGAATTTGAACCTGTGGTCACTTGTCTTTGCTGTTTATTTACGCAGCCCACACTCACCCAGAATGTTCAGGACTGCTTATTACAAAAGAAGGAAATAAAAGGCTCAGAATGAAAAAGGTTAAAAAAGGAGACAAGGCAAAGAAAACAGCAGCACAGGCAAACCAAGTCGGATTGTGAACCAGTTAGGTTTTCCTGTCAAATAGTCAATATTAGAATATGAAAAGAGTATATTTTCAAAGTCTGCCGGGCTCCACACATGATCTACCACTCTCTGCTCAAACCCTACTTACGGTCTGCCAAATTCCACCCATCGCCCACTACCAAACTGGCGAATTCTGCCATGTTTCAACTTGGGACCCACTAGAATCTGACTGTTCATGATCTGCAATGCTTAAAACTCCACTGTCTTCTAGGACTTCCAGTAGCCATCATGTGGAATAGTTTTGTTTATTGCCGAAACTTTCTTTCTGTAGTCAGATAGCTATGAAAGACTGGCAGAGGCCTCACTCTGCATACTTACTGTGGTAAAGTTCTTCTAATAAAGCCAGAGCTTGCCTTGAACATTTCTCTGCATATGAAAATCTTAGAAGTTCCACCAGGAACCTCATTTTTCAAATCTATTATTGGCAACACCTGTGAGTATGTGAAGATTGTGAATCTTATGAGCAAATGTAACCAAAATCTCTCATAACCATTGATGCTGACTGCACTCATTTGCAGAAAAGTTATCTTAAAACATTTTAGTTGCAGGATCATTCAACACTATGCCCTTTGCCAAATGAATCAAACGCCATGCTAAAAGAGATCATAAAAATGTAGTGGCTTCTGTCGC